GGCGGGGGCTGGAGGTCACCAGGGGGGAGCGGGGCTCTGTGGGGCACGGGCTGCTCTCCGGGTGCCATCCCCGGAGCACGGGACGGGGCACAGCTCTGCACGAGCCATCAGACCCCCTTGCTGCTCTCACCCAGAGCACGGAGCGGGACCCTGAGCATCCCCCCCAGACTCCCCGAGCCACCAGCATCCCCCCCAGACTCCCCGAGCCCTGGCAGACCACAGGACCACCGGGCAGCTACTTCAAGAGCCATCTCAAACTGGATCTCAAACTGGTCAAGGATCTACTGAAGGATGCACATCCTGGCTGGTGACGCGTGTGGCTCTGCGGCAGCTCTGGGGACCGTGGCAGAGCAGGCAACGTCTTGGGCGATGCGGTCGGCCGGGGACCCAGCCGGGAACCGTCGCCTGTCAGGGGAGGACGGTTCGTGCCAGGGGGGACAGGAAACATCTCAATTTTCCGTGGGAAAGCGCTGTTCCAGCGCTCCATGCCAGCTCCCAGTGTGCCACCACGCTCACCACTCGTCCCCAGCTGCTGCGCTTCTGCTGCTCACCCCCGGGACCCCCAGCCTCTTCCCCCAGACCCCAGCTGTCCCCGGGACTGGCACCCAGACCCGCTCCCTGCACACGAGCCCAGGTGCTGGAGGCAGGGAAGGGTGAAAGGAAGAAAGCAGAGCCCCCCGCTTTGAACAGCCCCGTGCGGCTCCCCAGAGAGGCAGGGCCCATCAGCGGGAGTCGGCCGGGATAAAAAGCCCCTTGGCAAACCCCGTAACGCGTCACTTTTTCTGCTTCAGCAAAGTTCGGGGAGAGCCGCTGCGCTCCTCTGCCTCCTGCATGAGCTCCGACTCCCAGGAAAGCTTTCCTAGCTCTTCCCAGTCGTAGCCCCTTCTCACTTCTGGAGCTCAGAGGGATTGCTGCATCCCTACGGATGGGGAAACTGAGGCACGGGGAAGGCCGTGTCGGTACCTGCAGCACCCCAGCACACGCCACCTGCGTGAAGGGACAGGCCACCAGGCCACTGCTGGGTGACAAATGGCAAAACCCCCCCTGCCCTCATCCCCTCTGTGCCAGATAAACTGGGGGGTGGATAAGCAGGGCCGGGAGCGCAGGGGGGCTGCTACCAAGCTCCCGACCTCGTTAGGAGGTCCCAGTCCGTCCCCTCGCTTTGGTTACAGCAGGAGGTACGAGAGGGGAGGTTCTGGACACACGAACAAGCAGCAGAGCTCGGGGAGGCACGGCGGTGCTGCCCGGCATCCCACGCCCCCTTCATCCTTTGGGTCCAGAGCAGC